ACCAATAATAATGTGAGCCCAATGTTCAATCAATCTGTGAAATGACAATGTTATTACTTGATATTATAATCCTGTGATCAGTAGTATTTTTCAAGTAATTATAATCTTGGGCATTTGCACTAGACACTGATTTCACAGAGTAATGCTAAAGTCACATGACACATTTCCTTTTGTCTGATCCAATCAGAACCTTCGTTTCTGGCGCGAGACATGGTTATCTGTGGTGTTTGTATAAACCCTCTTTTGCGTGTCAAATTCTGATTCGCCAGTAAACCAAAATATGACAATTATAAAACTATTCCACGCCACCTTTTTTTAGTTCAAAGCGTTCTAGAGAAGCCTCGGACAGGCCATCCGGACTTCCCCATCAGCCAAAAAGAACCTTGACGAGCTGGATAAAATCTGTTGCAAGTTACACCCGACCGCATCGGTTCCTTCAGAATAAAAGCAGAACCTCACGACCCCTTCAGGGTCTCGCTGACGCCAATGATAACCTGTCGTGACCTGGAAGAATTCCAAGACTAGTTTGGTCGGCACCGCTGCTTTTCTACCGGCTTCGGTTCCAAGGAGGGTCCAAGAGGACCTCGACATCCTGGATCTAAACGGAGGCTTGCCCTGGGTACATAGACCGACAGATGGCGTCTCATGTGTGTTATAAATCTCCAACTATAGTTTAGAGCGAAACATTCACTCCCAATCAGAACTAAATGCTTCTCCGGATCCGTTGGTTCTGATAACAACATTCCACACATACACCATCATCTCACATCTCATTCCACCTAGTCCATCAGTACACAGAGTGTTTAAAGTTAGTCTTGTTTAAATTGTGTAGAAATAAATGTCTTAACTATTATAGACCTGACTCTCTTTCTTTCCTCGGAGTTAATACAAAGTGTCAAGTAATCCCTGCACCTTTGGGCACCAAAACGACAGAAATGAAATGGCTTGATCCGTGACACATGGAACGTGGGGTGGACGCGCAGGGCGTGTGGGAGGTGGAGGCGAACAGCAACAGGATTAATGACTTTGGAAATGGGCAAGGGACCAATAAATCTCGGGGCAAGCTTACGACGACTCTCCACCTTGAGAGGGAGTTCCTTGGTAGAGAGCCACACCCTCTGCCCCTCCTGGTAGGCTGGTGCCGGGGCGGCAGTTTGCACTGCAGGAGTACACAGCAGTGGAACGTAGTAGAGCCCTCCAGGCCGTTCTCCACACACGTTGGCAACGCTGGGCTGCTGCATGAGCAGAGGGGACGGTGGCCTCCTTCTCCTGAAGGGAAAAAACAGGAGGCTGGTAGCCATAAACAACATAAGGGAGAGAGATTGGTGGAGAAAGAAGGCAAACAGTTAAGGGCATATTCAATCCATGGCAGGTTCTCAGACCACTTTGATGGATCCCGTTGACAGAGGCCTCTGAGTTTGGTTTCGATCTTCTGATTTGCCCTTTCAGCCTGTCCGTCCGTCTGGGGATGAAAATCAGAAGACAGACTGCGATTGATGCCAAGCAGATTGTTGAACTCACCCCAAAACTTTGAAATGAACTGAGGGCCTCGATCTGAAACAATGTCACATGGCAGACCGTGTAGATGGAAAACCTCCCGAGCTATGACAGTACTCAATTCCTTGGCAGTGGGGAGCTTTTTGAGGGGAACAAGGTGAGTCATTTTTGAAAAACGGTCGACAATAGTGAGCAAAACAGAATATGAGTTGGACTCTGGCAAACCTGTGGAAAAATCCATTGCGACATGGGACCATGGTCTGTGGGGTACAGGCAGTGGTCTGAGTAACCCAGCCGGAGGTCTCCTGGAGGGTTTGGATTGGGCACAAATGTGGCAAGCAGTGACAAACTCCTTGACATCGCGAGTTAGGGTACACCACCAGAAAAGTCTCAGAACCATTGACATAATTTTATCTCCATCTTGAGGTTAAAACTCTGCTCCACATTTATGTAGAACCAGCTGTGGCTGATGGCTTAGCTGAAAAAAGTGACGTTATCAGCAAAGTACTACGTGGCTGCACCGCACTGGTCTTCAGGTGAGGCAGCCGCACCTCCAGGCTCAGCCACTCACCTGCCAATATGACACTTGGAGCGCTTGGAGCCGTTCGCCTTCTTGAAAAAAAAAGCCCTCCTGCCCTTTTTCATCTAATGATCACGTTTAACAGGAAATCCTCCAGAATGCTGCAGAATCTGTTTGCTTTTCTCCTGAGCGATAAGTCTTGTGTGAGTGCGTGCTAGCGTGAAAGCGCGAGTGCACACGCGCTCGTTATTAACTCGTTTTTGGATTGAGAAACTCCGACAGCACCGGCCGGGGGGTTGAGGGGGGTGCGGTCTACCTCAGTGCCGCTCTCTCGGTCTGCCAGGAGACGCCTCTTTCAGAAGCGTTTCCCTAGCAGGAAGTGTGGATGAAATACATCTCCACCCAGGCATTGACCCTCACTTTAATGAGTTTAATGATTGCATATATTTCCTGCTCCTCTGCCCTGAAAGTGGAATTACAACTCTTGAAAAACTAACCTGCAGCAGCCTGCTGTAGCTAGCGCTACCAACAAGCTAATGCTAACATGAGCCAGACTGTTGGACAAGTAATAGTTTTACTTACAAGACCAGTAGCAACAAAGCGAGGTCACCATCAGTCTGTGATTTTGTAGCCTCCTTTAGCGCCCTCAAACTAATGTAGGCTGCACTGATGTTCACTCTGGTTTTAGCTCTTTGCTTCGCCTCCAGAGACATCACTTGCTTACTTTTACTTCCAGGCGCCACCATGCCCAACAAAAAAGCTAACTTCTGAATCACACATATGTTGTACTTTAATTTAAATGAAAAGTAAGGCTGTGTGTTTCCACCATGCCAGTCACAAACTTTGAGATTTATCAGCTTGTAAATGTTTGTAATTAGCATGACTACAAATCGACATGTAACGAACCAGACACGGAGAAAAACAGAGGGATTGGCTGTAAGTTCAGCGAACTTTAAATCTTTCCTTCAGGAGGAAAGAGCCACCATAAATCTGGCCATTTGTTAAGAAGCTGCTGCGCTAGGGAGCAGAGTTTCTGTGGTGACGTCATATATGAAGCGCATTTGTAGTCCTGGACTTATTTTCACACAAAACCTAAAATACCCCCATTTGAAAATCTTGGTATCAAAATGTGTATTTAAAATTCACGGACATCATATGTGAAATCCATGGCACATAACAAGCGGATTTAGAAATGAGCCTTTTTAGCGCTATTGACTTCATTCATTTTTACGTTCTTTCGGGGTCACATGGTCACCCATGGCGAAGTATGGGTGTGACTAAGGCTCCCTTTAGAGGGCCTGCCCGCTCCACAAAACTATCCAGTGTGATTATTGGTCAGCAGAGGGCTGCAGGGTGGTGTCATGTGAAAATGGTCAAGTTTCATATTTTAAATGCTTAAATGTCAAAGCTTTATCTTAAAGTTAAAAGAAAACTATTTAGTGTTACTTTAAAATGAGATAACTCACAGTTAATGAATGATTTTGTTTGGTTTAGATCACATATGTCAGACTCAAGGCCCGCGGGCCAGATGCGGCCCGCGGAGCATTTTGATGTGGCCCGCGAGATAAATATCAAAAATATATTAAAACTGGCCCGCTGGCCGATTTTACCGCAAAGACTTCAACTTCCATGATGCTTTGCGGCGTCAGCGCGGAGCCGACGCACCCCCTCCTTTGTGCTTTTTCCAGCTCCTGCTGCCGGTGTCTGCAGCTTCGCTGTCTCGGACAAACTACACTCCTCTCACTCAGCGCCGAGTTCACTCAGCTATTTTCTGACGTTGAAGCCCAGAAACGGAGATTCTAGCCGCTCAGTAATGTGTTCACGACTGAAAGAGAAAGTTTTCCAACTAACGTCCAGACAGAGCCGATATAACTCCAGCGAACAGCGACACGCTCAAACCAGCATGACTCTGTGGTTGCAGTAGTTGTGTTTCCTCCCCGACACACAACAACTGGTCAAGCTGCTCAGACATGTTCAGCAGCACAAACCTATGTGAGCACCTGTTGTCATCTAATGTTGTCATTATTATGATGAAGATGAACAAAACAACAGGAGTCTCCTCCTCAGCTCAGAGCTCCTCAACCCCATGATGCAGGTATCTGGCTGGAACAGGTGAGTATCACAGTAAACCAGTGGAGCAAACTGAACTTTAAATATGTTGGTTTTATGCTCTTTTTCTGCTCCAAAACATGAAAGTTAACAGGTGAGATGTTGCATTTTCATTTAAGATAAAATGATATTTTTATTTTGTTGTTGGCCCGTGAGAAAAGATTTAACCTACAGTAAACAGGAAGTGGAAAGGATGCAGATAGATGAATAGAAAATCCCTTTATTGTTCCTCAGTGGGGAAAGCTAGACGTCACAGCAGCGATGACACGTATTACAGGAGAAAAAAAGGAGAATAAAAATAAGAAAAATGAATAAACAAGAAAACATAAATCCTGAATAGATTTTAAAAATGCTGATTATATCACAAGTAATGAATACCACTGATGCCTTTTATTTAAAACTTACTTGCTCGTGTGTAATTTGGTTATTCCACATTCAGTGTTAATGCAGAAATAAGTTTGTTTCCAAATTTAAAGGTTCAAAATTGCATATATGTTGATAAAGAAAATGTGCAAATTTGCCATCACTTTTTCAAAAATATTAAGTTTGGCCCTCGACTCCGTCCCAGTGAGTTTGAGTTTGACACCCCTGGTTTAGATGGCTCAATTAACTGTAGCCTATCATTTGAAAACTACTTTTTATTTACTCAGGAACATTATTTTATCATCATAAATACTAAAGTGTGACAAAACTGAGAAAACTTCAATACAAAGTTCTTGTTCTCATATTTGGTTTATTATTGTGGACTTTCCTGTTTGTTATCGTTCTCTGCTGGCTGAGGTGCCAGTAGGACTGAGGAGCGCCAGGTCCCAGCGGTAGTTTGGAGAACTGCATGAAGCTGGAAGGAGGAGGAGAGAGGAAGTTCTCCATGAACTTTTTTTCCTCTTTAGTTCGGAGACGTTCCGTTAGATTTCCAGAGGAGGGGGGCTGTGATCGACCAAAACTCTTAAGAAAAGTGACGAGAAACACGAAGCCAGAAGATCATCCTTTCCTCTGAATCTCCAACTTTTCACATGAAAGGCGCGAGGAGGCGACGCGTGTTTTTTCAGTTTGTTTTGCGCGTTTTGTTCTTTCCCAGCCTGGGAGGACTTAACACCATCAGAGGCGATGAGATGTGAGTGAGCTATGCCTTGTAGAAATGGACTGACTTTATCCAATCAAAAACATGGCGTCTGCGTCCTGAGGTTGAGCCTCTTTCCCGGTCTGCTTGTGGCGCTCTGCTGCCTGGAGGTGTGGGGCTCCGGGAACGGGCCCGGCGGGAGGAGCTGCGGCCCCTGTCCCGTTAACTGTAGCTGTGCGTCCGCGGGGCCCCAGCAGCTCTGCGTCGTTAACTGCTCCAACATCGGGCTGGAAAGGGCCCCAGCAGCGGTGGACTTCCCTCTAACCGTCAGCGTGCTGTAAGTCCGAATGTTTACTCAAAATATGTCACTTTTGTCTCTCCAAAACAAGAAAACAAGTTTATTATAGTGGCTTGCCCCCCCAATTGTGCGTTAAAAGCTGTAAAACGCACTCCTCCCTTATTCTCACCTTTGACACTTCAGGTTATATTAATTAATTTGTTAGAATAAAAAGTTTTCTAACCAAAAGTTGAAAATGTTTCTTCTAATGTTTCCAATTAGTGTTTTAGTCCCGTTGTTGCCAAATGCATGAAGAAAACAAGCATGCACTTAAAAAAAAGCGTTCACTTGTTGATTATCTCTAAATCTTTACAATTAAATCAACTTTACAGGCTAAGATTTTAGTCAAACGAAACTTTTATGACCGTATGTTATTTGGGAAATGACACTTTTGTTTATTTCTCCCATTTTGATTAGTTTAATGAAGAGACTTTTGCAGCATTGCTGTTTACCTGCATATGTTTACTGTTAAAAATAATGCAGCATGTTTATGTAAAAAAACGAACACAGTAATATAATAATAAACATTTAATCCACTTTAAGGATAATTTTTTCATATCTAAGTATTTAATAATGGATTTTTAAAGGCTCTGATTGCTTATGAATGTTTTTGTGATGTGACAGGGCTTTATTTATTTTTTATTAATTATACATTATTTTTAATTCAGCAGATTTTGGTGCATTTGCTAAAAGAACATTGTGTTCAGCAACAAGTCAGACCACGTGTTTCCCATTATTTATTCCCCCTGCATCTATAATCTTTATTTAACTTCAATTACATGCTGATTGCAGTGTGCATGTTGCAGTGGACCAACTTCACAAAACAGGCTGTAAAGGAGGTTTCACCAGAAAACATCTGCTTGTGTGTTTAGTCTTTGTTGTTGCCACTGCACACAACAATTCAACAGGTTTATTTAATTTGAGCTAATATTTAGTGTGACTAAATCAGAGAAGATGAGGGATTTGTTGAGTTTTGCTGTAATTAGAGATGTGTCCAGTTTTAAGGTCTAATTCCAGATGGTGTTTGGTGTGAGCCTGGTGGTAATAATGACTTTAGATGAACCTCTGCTCCCACATGGAGGTGACTTGACTGTGAACATTACTGCCTTTACTAACTAAACCTCCAGGTGCTGCTTTTATTTGCAGGAGTGCAGCACTTTAACTCCAGTGGAAATGTAAAGATATTTGCTTGGTTTCCCTTAAGATTAAATTCACTCAAATCCAACATTATCTTTCGATTAGCAATTTCAGAACAATTTCTGGTTTAACAAAATCTTATCACATGTTTGTTTTCTGCTCATCTGGGAGGAAATGGTCTTAGATGCACCTGAATCAGGAAGTACTACAAGTCAGCTGGAAGAGAAAGTAGCTTCAGACGGTTTAGGATTGTTTTTCCTGATATTTGGACGACTCGCCTCTGATTGGCTAACAGCAATAGAACTCTACCACTGCTTCAGGCTGCTCTGCAATGTTGATGTTTTATCTCCACAAGGACAGGCGGTAGAGCAGGTTGTCCAGTAATCGAAAGGTTGCAGGTTCGATCCCGGCTCCGACCAGGGAAAGCTGCTGTTGTGTCCTTGGGCAAGACACTTAACCTGCCTTGCCTGTTGGTGGTGGTCAGAAGGATAGGTGACGCCTGTGTTTGGCCAACACATTCTCACACCCTAAGCGTCGGAAACAAACGCTTGGTCAGACACCCTCCACATCAGACCCCTGACGCCAAAAGTGCCCTTTTTCGTTACTTATATGCGAAAAGGGGTTTTTCCCTTTTGTAACTGCAGATCCCAATGCAGCGTAAAACTGACGTGATGAGATATCCGCTAATGCGGCACCGAACCAGCTCATTTAACCGCACCTAAACCTAACGTTTCACTATAACCTTCCTCTCTCCCTCATCCTAACCTTAACCCTCTTGCTACGTAAAACGTTACTCTCACTGTGATCAAGCGTTTGTTTCCCATGCATTCTGACTCTGACAGTCAGAGTCTGACCGTATTTGCCGCCCAAGGGGAACGTTAGAACATACCATCTGGCGAGGGGGAGGTTACAAATACCCTCTACTTTTAACCTCCACCGTGGTAGTTGAAACCTCCCCCTCGCGTTGGCTCGGTCCAAACCTGACCAATGACGAGGCGGCTCCCGCCATTCACTTCATAGAGCCGGCTTTTAGAGCGATCGACACATCGCTAACATGTTCGCTAGCAAGATGGTTAAGGTTAGGATAGGGGTGAGGGGAAGGTTAAATAAGAGGATAAGGTTAAATAAGAGGATAAGGTTAAGGTGAGGCACAATGAGCTTGTTTGGTGCCCTGGCTGCGGACATCCCATCGCGTCAGTTTTACGCTGCATTGGGATCTGCAGTCAAATAAGGGAAAAACCCCTTTTCACACATAAGTAACGAAAAAGGGCACTTTTGGCGTTAGGGGTCTGAGGTGGAGGGTGGCTGACCAAGCGTTTGTTTTTGACGCGCTGGGAGTGAGAATGTGTTGGTTTGGCAGGTCTCGCCTATGTCAGTGCACCCCAGGGCAGCTGTGGCTCATCACCACCAGCGTCTGAATGTGTGTGTGAATGGGTGAATGACTGATTGTGTTGTGAAGTGCCTTAGGGGGTTGTAGAACCATAAGAAGGCACAATACAAATACAGGCCTTTTACCATCCACAAATAACACATGCCTGGAGAAGTTCTGATGTGTGGTGGAGTTGCTAATGCAAACGGTTAGCTTCTATAGCTGAGATGTTGTCTGCCGTTTCCTGGATGCCAAACTGCAGCAGCCTTCCCTGCTGCGAGTCAAGATGGGTGAATCCATGACAGTTAAGTGACAGTGCGACGTAGATCTGTCAGGTTTTTCAAATCCTAGAGTTTCACCGTCTATTTTCTATCAGAAGTTAATGCAGGAGATAGGTGTAGGAGACAATTTATGTTCGACCTGCATGAAAAACTCAGACTGACCGATTATAATCATAAATAATAAAAAAAATGTTTTTTCACTCTTTCACATCTTAATCATTCATGTATCTGATGGTGAAATGCTAATTTGGCTTTTTGATAGACATTTTTAAGTTAGCAAAATTTATTGACCCTTTACACCGACGTCACCTAATCTCGTGGGTCCACCATGGTGGACGGCAAAAGCATGTAAACAGTGAGCAACACAAGCACTAAACAAAGGGAAAAGTAGAGCCTGGAATTGTTTTTGTGATCAAAACAAAATCTAAACTCCTCCAGCATTCTTCAACCAGTTCATGCCCAGTTCAGTTATTAGAAGAAGTAACGCTCTAGCCGTGGCTCATAGAGAGCGGTATGCTAACTAGCTTACCAACGTTAGCTTACCTTCTCTCTGCAGCTGTTCACCGATGTAAACATGTTGCTGACTTTGCCTAAATTCACCCCTCTGGATTTATAACATTATGTTGTAAACAGCGTTTCACTTTACACCAACGGTGATTTTTAAAAAGTCCGGATCCCTACCAGCTTCTGTTGCTGGTGGTGTTACCGGGTTCAGCTGCTGCTCTCACACCGGAATGAGAAGATCTCTGAACGGCGACGCTCATATAAATAAATAACGTAATTTTAACACACGTAATCATACACTGGAGCTTTAATATTGTTAATAATTGTCTCACTTTAAACTACAGTGGATGGAGCGCAGTCTCCGTGGTGAAATACCCATCCATCAGGATTATCAATAACTAGTATAAACACATCACATTTATCCCTGTCCCCGTCTTCCTCATGAAATATATGAACGTTAATCTTACCCGGTAAAAACATGCTTGCTGCAAATCTGAGGCCTGCTAGTCCGCTTGATTGATTGCTGCAGTTCATCTCCGTCCTCAGTCTCCATCAAAGTTATTAAAAAAACAAAACGAGTTGAGTTTACGTCCTTGTCTGTTAGTTCAGCCAGCCACGCAGCAAGCTAAAACCATTTTACTGTCAAATCAACTAAATGAAAGCGATAAAAGGCTACAAACTGGCTTGTTTTGACTAGCTTCACTGGAGTTTCTACGGGTGTAAATGGTCTTTTTGCCGTCCATCATGGCGAAGGGGGCGGTCACATGAGTGGCGTGATGTCACGTGCAAAGGGTCAATAGAGAGAGCATAGAAACATAGACAATTGGTACTTTATCCTGTTATGTAAAATAATGTTTTTGTAAATGTATGGCCATTTCTTCCTTTTGTTAAATTGTGTCTTATAAGCCTATATGAGCTGGGCGTGTGTTGTGCACGACACTTAAATAACATGTATTCATTCATTCATATAATCAGATATAACCAGAAATAATCATTAAAAATGTTTTTTCAGTGTTCGACACTTGACAGAAACTTTAGGTTTGCTAACTCAAGCATTTTGGAGCTCCGTATAGATCTTTATGGTTGTGCTGGAGGTGACAGAGATTTTTAGTTGAGCATGTCTTGCAAAGTACCTGCGTTTGTTTAGCACCATGTCTCTTGTAACCAACATATCTTTAAATAAGGGACGTGGTGTCGTTGTAAGCATGAGTTCTTTCTTACTAACATTTTCTGCACGTCTTGCCTTCAGCCTTTGCGACGCTATCTAAGCTAACTCAGGTGTGTGTTTGCTAGCCATCTAAATGGAAGTGCTGTCTACCTTGGGGCGTGCATCTAATGTAAGAATAACCAAATGCATGAAGGGCTCTATTTGATTGGTCCAAAATGTAGTGCTTCCTCGTGATCAACAAAATGCATTATGTGTAGCAAACATTTGAGCTGACCTTTTATCGGTGTATTTTTTGTTCTTTGCAGTAGGCCTATTGCGCATACTGACATCACAAAGACAACACATTTGTGATGAATTGTGCTGCCCTAATTTTCATTATATCTAGATTTTTAAAACACAAGTTAGTTTGTTATAATTTTTGTTAAACTTGTCAAGAACCATGGTGGAAGGCCTTTAGAACCACATGTGGCTCAAGAGCTGCAGACTGCAGATGCCTGAAATACTTGTTTAGTGACTATGAGTCGTTGCAAAGTGTTTTATT